CAGATTCATAAAAACATTTTCTTTAACCGGTAAAAAGAAAGGGGACGCATGAAGCAGCCACACTTAAAAACAAGACTAAAAAAAAGACACACAGCTGTTAGAGCTGATAAATGAATCCATGATTATTTTTTTTTTTACACCAACCTGTTGAGATCACTTCACACGGAGAAATATCTTTGCTTCATTTATCTTAACACATCTATTTCTGGAGAGCAGATTTAGATCTCACAGACTCTTCTTATATAACACCACGGAAACAAAATCAAGGACCCAATATTTGGTTATTTCTTGAAATTTCACAAATTGCAAGTCAACTCCTACACACCGTCTAATTTGCATGAACACATTGGCAATGTTTCCTTTTTTTTTTGTTGCACAATTTAGACAATCTGCAGAGATTTTTGATGGATTCATTCCTCTCCTATGTGCTTATGTTTACACAAAAATAAAATATATTTCAGTGAGTGCAAAATATACTGTAGTAACATTAGCATCACTACCAATCCCCCATCAGCCTCAGGTTGGAAGCGGTCCACAGTTTCCAGAAGGAGAAAGCCCTCGATGTTAAAGACGACCATTCAAACTCTGACCTCTTCAGTGTTCGGATCACTTCCCTTCACATCACTTACTAACAGCTACCAGTGTTTTCTAAAGCACACATTTTTCTGTGTCTTTCTTGCTTGGTTGAAAACTACCCCACCTGTGTTTTTTCAATTCTACAATTCACTTAGCAGACATTTTTATCCAAAGCAATGTACATCAGAAAGTAAGTACAACACTAATCCATTCATACACCACCACAAAGCAGCAGGAGCAATGCAGGGTTAAGTGTCTTGCCCAAGGACACATCAGACATGTTGCTCAGCTTGGGATCAAACCCTTGACCTTCCAGTTGAGAGCCAATGACTCTACCAACTGAGCCACAGCCGCTCTCTGACTGAGAGTCTCGTCTCCGTCGCTCTCAGTTTTCACAAACAGAGCAGCTGATGACACAGTCTGCGCGCCTTTACTCTTCATGCTTCAACATCTTGACACTCGAGGAAGCCATCGCCACACTTTTCAGTTTGAATATGAATGAATCAAGCAGCATGTGTTTTATAAACAAAGCTAAAAAGTGATTTGTTTGGGAAGCATTTGGCCTAGTGGTCGTTTGCCCCATGCACAGAGGCTATAGTCATTGTTGCAGCGGCCATGTGATCGAATCCGACTTCCCCCCTTTGCTGTGTGTCATCCCCCCTTCTCTCCCCCTCCCCCCAAAGGCAGCTCTACCTTGTTATATTCAGGACAAGATCCGCAAAGGGATATGACTTTTGTTCATTGTGCTTTCTCTAAACTGGATACTGTCCTCCTCATTGTGAATCTTTCCTGGGGTAAACAAAGCCTCCATGCTGTTTATTAGCTGTCTAAAGATATCTATAGAGATAGGTCATCTCTGAGCTGATGGTCCTGTTTGCTCTTAAAAACAAAAGGCATCAGTCAAATCAACAAAAATGAAGCTCAGGCACAAACGAGGGACAGATCGAGGGATTGAGAGCGTCTGGCACGTACCTCTGCACACGGGCTCGCTGTCATTCCAGTGGGGATTGCTCGGGTCGATACACTCAATGGTGGCCGAGCCTTGTTCCATGACGAAGCCCGGGGAGCAGGCGAAGGTGACGGTGGTTCCCAGCTGATACGTGATGTCACTGCTGCTGAAGTTGCCATGGGGCATGTAGGGCTCCCAGCAGTGTTCATCATCGAAGGCTTGAAGGAGAGACGCAGAAAAAAAGGGAATCAGACACACTGCTTTAATTTTCAGGATATACATTTCCGGGATTCCTTTAGTGGTTTTTAAGAAAATTAAGCAACCATAACAAAGCTTTTCATGACCCAGAATCTCAAACCCTTCTGGATGGAAAGAAGCAGGTGTGAGGCGCTAAAAGCTTCTGAATTGTGCATCTCCAGAGCTGAAAATAAATCCTGCTGGAGCGTGGGCAGACTGTAAGCACTCATGTGGTTCATTACTGCTCTCTTTAAAAACACATCAACGCATGAGGAGAAAGCTTCTTTTTTTTTTTTTAGTCCATTTTTTAGCTATAGTCCATTAACTCCAAAACCGACTTTCAAACACTGCACATCAATACTCTATCAGACATCTTAAAATAACCACAGACAAAGTGACCGCTGATGTCTCTTTTGACTTCTTATAATCGATGCTTCTGGTTATTTTTTTAGAAATTATACTGAACTTGTTTTCAGGCTGAAAGCTGACACTGAACTTTAATCGAGGTTGGAAGGGTGAGCAGCTATGCGGTGTCATTTGTGTTTTTGTTAGATGTGGAAAAAGACTTCACATGAGGAGGATGCATTGTGGGTATCTGAGTTCTCTTCGCTTTACCCTCGTATCTCAGCGCCAGCAGCAGGGGGATGGAGGAGGAATCAGCGGTGAGCTCTAGGTAGAGCGTGGCGCTCTCACTCAGCAGCCCGCGCTCCGGGACGTCATCCAGGTCGGAGTCAAAGAGCGGTGGAGACAGGGAACTGTTTCCACTTCGCACGATTAACCTTTTGAGGGGAACAAACCACAAAGACGACCTGGGATGAGCTCGAGAGAAGAGCGAGGCATCACCATCGTTGTGTGAATCTGTATAAATAAATAAAAACGGACTTATCATCATCTTCGTCCAGAGCGATCCTCTCAAAGTGCAGGTGGAGTCGGTGTCCTTCTTTGGCTTCGATTAACCAATGACAGCTCAGGTTGTTCCCGTTGCTGTGGTTACCGACGGACGGAGGAGGAGGAGACAGAATCCGGCCCACTGTTGCATTGCGAACCCATCCTCCGCAGGACACAGCTGCGGGAAAAAAAACCCCAATACTCCATGTTATATTCTGAGAGACACCTCAATCCTGACGTGTCTTTTTTATATTTCATTTAAATCTCGCTGGGTTTACCGACCGACACAGTGCGGCTCAGGGGTGCTCCAGTGCGGCTGTGTCGTGTTCACACACGTCGCCACCTCATGGCCGCGGACCTGGAAGCCGGGGTCGCAGTGGAAGTGAGCCTGACCTCCGGGATGGATGTCCGTTACTGTCACTCCCCCGCTCTCAGGAGACTGCGGGAACGGGCAGGACAGCAGGAAGGCTGAGGGGGTGATGCAACAGGAAGGAAAGTCAGTTTATTTGGTGTGAGATGAAAGATAAAAAAGTTGAGTTTAAAGTTCAAAAGAGTTCAAACGCTTCTCCTTTCAACATGCTTTGAAATAATATACTTAAAAAAAACATGCTTTCTCTAGTTATGTTACAAAAGCAAAAGGGTTCCTTTACCTTGATAGTGGAGGCTGAACACGCCGTGGTTGCTCTGCTGGAGACTGCGGTAGTGGATGTACACCTGATTGGTCGCACTGCGGATCACCTGACCCTCTCGCATCAAGGTCTCGTTGGCCAGGAGCTCAAGTCCCAAACCTCCATAACCCATGATGGTCAGAGACTCCTTCTTAGAAAGGTTAACCTTCCTCACCTGGAGGGGGAAAACAGTGAATAATGACATGCATCCTCTGTCTCTGCAGCTGTCTTTATGTAAACAAGTGAACAAGTAAACACATTGTAGACTTTATGAAACAAGGATGTGGACTCTGGCACGATTACAGCTGATTGTTTTTACTTTTGGGAAGATGTTTCTGAGGATGGACGGATAGGAGAGCATGCACATTCTACCTGAATCTCCACTCCATAACCCGGGTACACGGTGATGCTGTAGGTGCACTCCAGCGGGGAAAAAGAGGATGTCGATGCAGGATCGGGTGACTCGACGATATCTTCCATCGCTGACAAAGTTGCATTGCATTGCACTGTGTGGAGAGGGAAAGAGAAGAGGAAACTGTGAAATGTGTATCTGAGAAATACAACAATCCTTTCTTTTCCAAAACACAAGACAGCGCTTTGATTTCTTTTACAAAAGCTGGATGACTCACATCCTCACAAGTTTGAGTATTTACAGAGTGATGACGGATCAAAAAGACGGCTCTTCAACTTCTGCTTCTCTTTAACAGTTTCATAATGGAAGTGAGACAAACTTCAACAATATCTCATCGAAAAATTGATGTTCTCCTTGTTGTTTCTTTCAGCTGATTCATGTAAAGTTGTATTAAAAGTAAAACTATGTGGAATCTTTTTTTTTTGCAGAGGAAACACCGGAGCGTGAGCTGCTACTGAAAGTTGTTTTACATTAGCTCGTCGGTAAACAAATTCTCTTCCTCAGGTTGGTTTCACCTGCTTGTCTTGACCACAGGTCATCAAGTCGGAGTTCTTTTTCATTGGAGGGGGGAGGGGGGGGGGGACAGCCTTGTTTTGATTGATAACTAATCAGACCTATTTGTTTTTTGTACCAGGCTGTAAACATGATTTTTTTTCTGCTGTAAATGGCTTTTTTTTGGTTGTGGTGTGTATGTGACTTCTGGAGCTCCTAGAGCCAGCCTCAAGCGGACACCTGACAAACTCCAGGATTTCGTAGTTCTGCATTGGCTTCATTTTTCAAGACCCGAGGTTGCCGCTTGGTTTAAGTCAAATTTTGCAACATTTGATGGCACCAAAAATGCCACAACAAAATCTTCTAGCCCTCATAACATTTTGATCAAGAAACAATTTTTGGAGTGGGAGTGATTGCTGCCGATGTAAAGATGAGAGAGGCATCTCGATATCGTCTCTTGAATTGTGTGAACTGTGTGTGCTCTGCTCTGGAAGATTCCTCCCACACTGCTCATGATCTACCCTGAGTATACCAGGAATGTATTTTATAAAGGACTCCTTTTTATAGGCAAAATGAAGATATTCCCCCGAGCTGAGGTACCAACAGAGGAAAGCACAATCCCTGTGTCTCGCTACTCTGTTTAGGGTTTTTGTATTTGAGGCATGTGTTCTTGAGCTGAAATTAAATAATTACACAGAAGCTTCCCTGAAATTAGAAGGTTCAGACGGGCCACACACACTCCTCTTAAAGCTGCCACATGCAGAGCAGTGCTGTGGTGATTTAGGGAGCTGAAAGGAAGACCTTGATCCCACAAGCAATTGTGTCTCGCTGACGCTGAAATGAATTACAGCCACACAGGTCGGACTCTGCCTGGTCACCATGGAGGCTGTAATCAAATTAAAACTGTAATTCTGTCGTGCATGCAAATGCAATCACCGGTTGAGCAATGCTGAAATGCTCCACAGCAAGACATACAGTCACAGTTGTTTGCACATATGCACCTCACAGCGGGAGACTGTCCCTATTGGACGGGAGGGGGGGGGAGACATTTTTGACTTTCACAACATCAATGAAAGAGCGAAGAAGAACATTCAGATAAACGCAAAGGGAAGCCGTTTCAGAAAGTGCACAGAGAATAATCCCCTCCACCTCCCTCGCAGGAGATTTTCCAAAACATTTGCACAAAGCAAACTGGAAGGTCGTGGGTTCGATCCCCAGCTTCTGAGGCAACATGTCCGATGTGTCCTTGGGCAAAACACTTGACCCCAAGTTGCTCCTGCTGCTTTGTTGACGACGTATGAATGTGTATGACTGGATGAGTTACTTCTGATGGACTTCACGCAGCAGCCTCTACCAACAGTGTGTGAATGTGTAGGTGTGACCTGCAGAGTGAAAGCCCTTTGAGTAGTCAGAAGACTAGAAAAGAAATATACAAGCTCAAGTCCATTTCTGATTTGGCCCGAACATTCAGGAAGTTTTCAGGGGTTTTGTGCATATGTGTAAAAACAATACATGTGTTTTTTTTGGGTGTGATTCTGGACTGTTGTTTTTGCATACTTGCACATAATAGAAAAAACATTAGTATTGAAAGAGGCATTAATTAAAGCATTTCTTGACAACAAAATATTGCATCGCTAGAAGGCAGTGACACACAGCCTACTGCTGAAATCTAAATAACAAACGGACACAGGAGACATGGCTTCAATCCTGGAAAATCTCATGAAAGTTGTAACAAATGGAAATCTCTCCTCTGTTGTTTGCGCCGATGCTTCAATGGGAACATAAATTTGCCAGGTCTCTGTACACCAGAAACTGCAGCACATTTGTGTGTTGGTGAAGGGGTTTACTGGACGACAACTAATGCCTATTATATTCTGAATGTCTCGTCTCCAGACGCATGTCTTTGTAGAGAGAAACAGAGAAATAATATCTGAATGTTTGGGCGAGTTTGATGTGAAACGCTTGAAGTGACTTGACTGGAGCACACTCGCCTTCGAACCCGCCTGTTGTATCTGGTAGTATTGTTTTGATTCATTGTACTTTTACAGTAAGAATATAGCATTAAGTTAGCATCAAGCTAGTGTTAAAACAGCGGGAAACAGCTAGCCTTGGTTCAGTCCAAATGTAAAAATCTGCCCATCAACACCCTGAAGCTCACTGCAGAACTGACTAGATCTTTAATATTTAAAAGTCTGTGTTGTGAATAATACGCTAAGTCAGGAGTGATGAGATTGACTACTTCCTGGCCATTTTTTTTTTTTATGACTTCCTGGAGCCTCTGCTTGTTGCCTGGCAACATCTACTGGCAGATATAAAGTCGAACAGATAACCTCTGGCAAAAAAAGACATTTGTTTAGTCTTAAACTTGACAATCTCTGATTAAACAAAGCAAGCTACCAAACAGTCTTTAGCGAGGCTAGCTGCTGTTTCTTTGGTCTTTGTGCTAAGCTAAGCTAGTCTTAACCAGCTGCTGGCTGTGGCTGCATATTTACCAAACACACTAGAAACCTGGCATGGCTCGATGATGAACACTGTTTCAGATATTTCTCTGATGGTCGTAGCTTTCACAGCAGGTTCAAAAAAACAAACAAGGAATATGCAAATCTTCCTGAATAATCACCTTGCCCTGAAGTTTCCCACTCACATCTGGTGTAAATCAGATGACCCACCTCCTTCCTGCTCATCACATTTCCTTTAATTTAATGAGCAGAATGAGTGACGGCTCTCGTCCGCCTGCAGTGAGAGCACCCAGGCTGACATGTTGGATCATGTAAGCGTCCCTCTGTCACTCGTACAGGATGGGATTCTGTCCTTCAGTGTTCCCTATTAGTATTCTGGTCATGATGGCCCTGTTGACTGACTGATTTGTCCAATACTTCTTCCTTTAATATCAGAATAACTACAGTGTTGATATGAGTGTTTATGGTTGCACCTGACTGCTCTCAGTTTACTGATTAAGTTATTTCACACTCAGCCCGGGCTTTCATTCACTTCAGTCTATGAAATGATCCGGCCTTTATTTGGGACAGGCAGCAATATGAGACCGGCCTTTCATTATTTCCAAACGAGCACATGCGCACAAAAAGATGGGGAAGACGAGAAAAGTGTAAATCGACACCAGAAAGAATGTTAAACTGTGTACAAAATTAGGACATCGATAAATAGATTAAATTACAAATCACTAATTTGATGTTGCTTTGTAAGACAGAACATCTCTGCCAACCTGCTGCACTGTGGAGGAGAGAGAGAGGGAGAGAGAGAGAGAGAGGGAGAGAGAGAGAGGGAGGCAGAGAGAGAGAGAGAAAGAGAGGGAGAGAGAGCGAAAGAGAAAGAGAGAGGGAGAGACAGAGAGAGAGAGAGAGGGAGAGAGAGAGAGAGAGAAAGAGAGGGAGAGAGAGAGAGAGAGAAAGAGAGGGGGAAAGAGAGAGAGAGAGGGAGAGAGAGATAGAGAGAGAGAGGGAGAGAGAGAGAAAGAGAGAGAGAGAGAGGGAGAGAGAGAGGGAGAGAGAGGGAGAGAGAGAGAGGGAGAGAGAGAGAGAGAGAGAGAGGGAGAGAGAGAGAAAGAGAGAGAGAGAGAGGGAGAGAGAGAGAGGGAGAGAGAGAGGGAGAGAGAGAGAGTTAATATAATCACTTATAAATGCTGGTCTATGGCTCGGTATGAACACTAAAGGGTTCAAATGTCCAATGAGAAAGAGAGGGAGAGAGAGCGAAAGAGAAAGAGAGAGGGAGAGACAGAGAGAGAGAGAGAGAGGGAGAGAGAGAGAGAGAAAGAGAAAGAGAGAGGGAGAGACAGAGAGCGAGAGAGAGAGGGAGAGAGAGAGGGAGAGAGAGAGAGTTAATATAATCACTTATAAATGCTGGTCTATGGCTCGGTATGAACACTAAAGGGTTCAAATGTCCAATGAGGGACGTAAAAACAAAATGTTTTCTTTTTCATAATCTCAACATTTATTCCAAACCGTAAAGCGAGCACGAGCCGCAGACTCGTCCCCGCCCCTCCTGCCTCTCACTGAGGTTTACCTTTCTTTAGTCTTTATCTGGATCATCATGACAGGACACTCTGAGAGGCAGAGCTCACACACACACGTGAATCTCCAGCTGACCTTTAACCTTATCCCTCACAGCGGCACACATACTGGCATTGTTCTGTCTTTCTCGGACACGTGCTGAAGTTCATCTGTGGGCCTTTTATTTGTCAAAACGTGCAGCATTACCAGGCTTGTAGAAAAGGACAGGGCCTTTAAGTAGGATGGGCTTTTGGAGGGCAGAGGACACACAATGTAGAAAATCATCTGGAGTGGAAAACCCCCTCTTATCTGTTTTTATATCTCACAGGTTTAAGCATCCAAATATTTTTCAAAGTGATACGCTTTAATCTCTCCAAACATGTTTTTCCCCTCGCACTAGGTTTCAATTTTAAAATGTAATGTAATGTAAGTACATAGATAGTACTGGAGTATTGATGTTTTTGAGCCCTCTCAGCTCACACTGTTCAGGAGCCTGTTGATGTTTTGTCATGAATATTTTATGACAACATGTTTCACATTACCATGTCACTCAAGATCTCCATGTTACTCTCTTTTTTTTTCAAATTGAGGCAGGGAACAGAAATTAGCGAAGCTGCATCTGCATCCAAAATAATTCAGTAGGAAAAAAAAAAAATGCAGCAGCCAGGGCTGTTAAATCTGAGCAGCTCGAAAGCTACAGGTGAGAACTCTGATGCAATCTTGAAAGAATCTAACGATATCCATACCTGGTTCGATTCCGCTACAACAAAAATAGAAGGCACCCAATAATGGGTAATTTCTTTTCAAAAATTGCAAACTTCTGCTCACTGTCTGAATTGCACAAATACATCAGCAATGTTTCTCTACAGAAGTTATATCAAGTGCATTTGTACAAATAACACTGTGTAGGTTTTTGTCTGCAAGTTTTAGATGGATTAATTCCCCTTGAATGCACCTTTCTTTTTGCAATAGATGTAGCTTTTTAAGCGTGGGTACTTTTTCATGCTAGATCATTAAAATAACCGAGATTGAATTGATTTAAAACCTGAGGTATTGAAAAAGTATCACACATTCTGACAAGCTCTACATCCGCATAAACACACAAAGCCGAGTGGTGACATGCAGGTACCTGGCATGTGCATGGTGGTGATGGTGGTGGTGGTGATCAGGGTGGTGGTTGTCTCCTCCTCTACGGGCAGCGAGGACATGGTATTCCTGGGCCCTGTCTGGCCCGCGGCAGAAGAGGAGCTCAAAGCTGTGGTGAGCAGCCCTGGTGATATGACAGTCGCTGTGGACTCGGTCTGCCCAAGCCCAGGCACCGCCTGCGTGGGGTTGGTGGTGGTACCTGCAAAATTCAGAAGGTTGAATTCAATTTATAGCATCTCCGAGGAGCCGTATTGTCTTTTAACTGCATTATGTAATCCATAAAAAGCTGGTGTTAGTGTTGCACCTGTGCCTGCTGAAGCCTCTCCCAAGTACTCCTTACTCTGCAGGGCGGCGTGGATCAGGTCACCCAGAGGGTACGAGTCTGGGGTTGATGTTGGTGGTGAATCAGGCTCAGGAGTCATGAAGCTCATACCTGAAAGAGCCACGACGGATTATCGGTTTTGTCATTTTCAGATGCAAATTAAAAAGAAAATCTTGTTAGCGGAACACAAAACAGAAAACTGGTCGACTTCTAGATTTGAGATTCAAAACATTCAGTGTGAGTGTTGGAGCATTAAATGTGCATGCATTAGGAGACAACACACACACACACACACACATGTATGTACATTTACCTGAAACAAGGGGCATCAAAGTGACCAGCAGCATCACAGAGAGGCGTGCGAACCTCATGGCTTTGGATGAAACTGAAATGACCTGAGAAGGTTAAAGCGAGCAGATTGATTTGCAATTCATTATGTAACAGTATACACAGAGCCATCACTGTGTCTTGTGCTGTAATGCACATTAGTATCTCTTTTTTTCACTGAGGCAGAAACGGATATAATGCGTGTTGGCTGGTTGTGGAAACGCAGAGGGAATGATTAGTCAGATCATTAAAAATTCTCTCGCACTTCAGCTCCTGAGCATCTGTTTACATCACACAGGCCTCAGTGACTCGGACTGGAGGATCATTGCGAGGTGATCATGCAAAAGCTCAGCTCCATCAATCTGCAGAACATGCATTCAGTAGACAACTAGCAAAAACCTTAATTACATCGTATACCGTGTCTTTCTCTTAACAGGTGTAGGAATGGCGAGCAGGTAGACGATGCACACGGTATAAGGTTTAATATTCAGGCTCTCCCCCCTTGCATCCTCTCCCCCAAATCTGCAACAACATGCCCGAAAATGCGCTATTCCAAAATCCAACAAACAGACCGCAGGTAGACTCTGATCCTGATTCTGGTGTCAACCTGCAAATGGTGATGTGTCAAAAAGACCCTCCACGCTCAGTCGAGGCGTTTCCTCGGCGAAATTGTCATCCTGGTGTGTGACAAAATGATGGGGCTAAACGAGGCAGCATCACTCGCACCTCCCCCGGCCCTCTTTGTGCGGAGGACGATTTTTTTATTTTTTTTGGCATCAGTCATTACAACTGTGACACCGAGAACCATTTCAGCAAACGTCTTCAGGTGTCTGCCGCTTACCTTTTCCCCTGCAGACTGCGTCCTGCGCTCCGTTGCTTGGACTCTATCCTGTTGCTTTAGGCCCCGGGAACACGGCGGGGTTTGTGCTGGTGAGATGCCCCTAGCTGGTTACCGTGTGGTTGACGCATTCGGCTATGATGTGAGGGCATTTGTGTTGAAGCTCCAGGTGCGCTCTAGCGGCCGCTCACGAGAACTGCAGCGACGCGCGGGAGATTCTCCACATTGTGTCTGTGGGCGCTGGAGGAGCTGTCAACCAACACGGTGCTGAAGTGTGTCCGAACAACCCCGCACGGTTGATCAAGGTAAACAGACAGTGCTATGAGCGCTTAGCCTGCATGTACTAAAAGTAAAGCATGGCGAAGACCTTTTACTGACACGTTTTTCTTTTAGTGGGTGGGTGTTTGCGCTTACACGGAATGCGGACATTAAACATGAGCATGCTGAGCTGCGGCGGCTGCTGCTGCAGAGCGGAAACAAAATGAATGCTGAAGCAACTGCAAAACAAACAAAACCAAATCTACAGTTCATGGGACACGTTCATGATGTTAAACCGTGCTGTCACTCAAAACGTGTTTCTGGAGTGCAGAATTATCAGTTAGCATGTAACTGATGGTGACAACGTAGATCCGTATACGCCTATAAGGATAGAGCCCTCCCACACATGCACGTACGTACACAGACGTGCACGCATGATTTATGATTTTAGTAACAGTAAAAAGTCAGTCAGTAAGGGTGTCTCCCTGTATACACACCAGGGGCGTGCTCAGACTATATTGGGTGGGGGCTGGCAACTGAGGCAGAGACTTATGCAGGGGTGGCCTGAAATTCACAATTAAGAGTAATTAAAATATTGCATGCAAACTCTTGAACACTGTCTAATTTGCAGAAATACATGAATTGGTCAGTTAGTATATTGCAAGTAAGACAGAGTGCATTACTTTTCTAATCACCCGTCTTATCAAATACATGTGCAAAGTATTTATTCACAATTTAAAATACTCACAAAATAAATATCATACACTGACATGTAAAGAAAACTACAGATCACAGTTAAGGATTTTAGGGTAGCAACTGGATTGGCTAATCAAATTTCAGGGTGGGGGGGGGGAGTGGGGTGGGTGGAGAGATGCAACCCTTCTGGACATGCCAAATCGAGTGTAATCCATTTTCCAGACAAAGTGCTTACAGGTCAGAACTCAACCTGTTCTGTTATCTTCTACTCCTTTATTGGTGGTCATAAAATCAACGTCGAGGTAGAATAAGATGGAAACCAGATGACTGCCCAGGGCCCCAGTGGAGGATGGGGATCTTATTTGGCCTGAAAATAACAAAAAAAAATTTATTTTATTTGTTTGCATCTAAGCCTAATTATCATAAGGCAATTGTCGCCCTTGAGCTCCAGCATGAAACCAAAACAAACTGCTGTTTGGCCACACCTCCATACTAAAGCCTCCGCTCTCCTCCAGAGACAAAGGCAGTCATGACTCACAGACACATTTACACTGGATAGACTTGATTTATGATATATTTATCTGTAACATGGTGCACTTTCTTCATTAAAAAAACATTTCAAGTGTCAAAAAGATGCATTCAAAACAAAGTTAAATAAATTTGAACTGCGATAGATTTATAGGGTGTAACACAACGTTTTGGTAATTTAAAGTATCGACAAGAAACCAGAATTTTAGACTTCAATACAATACTCGTAAAAATCAAACAGTCCGATACGTGAGTCGATACTAAGGCAACAAAAAAGTGCCAGACGTCAGATATCGGGTCATGTCTTGTTTTAATTTCGGGACATATCTTCTTTCTCTTGCTGTTTGAACTGACAATATCGCAGGGTTGGCCAAGGCTGTGTTGGAGGCAGTCCAGTGTGTTTCTTTACAAGGCCCAGAAATCCTGGAGACGAGGAAAGATTTCACTACACAGCTCCTTATGTTTGACTTTGTTAATGACTCATGAATAGCATTTAGACTGAAGGTGGAACGTCACTCAAAGAGGAAGTAAGCAACCTTCATGCAAAGGGAAACTTGACCACAGTCGATGAAGTAATGGGAGGCATGGCTGCAGAGTGTAGATGTGAAAACGTCACGTCGGAATATTGCATGCGAGGGAAATCGTCAGCTACATCTGCAGCTAGTTTGCCCGGAGAACAAAGGGTCCAAGATCAGGACTTACATAACAGCATGTAGTCAGCAGCAACTAAACCAATGAGTCAGTGGATCCGTGATGGACCGGTAACCTCTCATTAATGTTTCACTTGTGCATGCTGGGATTGGCCTCAGCTCCCTGTGACCCTGGAGGAGATTAAAGTGAAGAAAATAAATGAGTTGGCTGTTTGAAAGCAGCATCATGGCACTAAGGCTGTGCTTATCAGGAAAAAACGAGAGCCTCTCCATCGTCTACTGTGATGTATGAGGCTTCGACAAGCAAAAAAATGTCTGATTCGGATTGTTTAACGACTGACAATAAAAACAAAACACATTTAGTATTTTATTGAAACCCCTAATGAGCCCAGATTATTCCACAATACTAACCACAGCCTCTCACTCTTTCTGTTTCAGTATTTTAAAGGATGCACTGGTCAATGAGCACACTGCCCTTGCCTCCATATGTCGAGCTGGGGGTGCACTCACTGAGCGGCCTCCTCTGGACTCTGCTTCTGCTTTTCCTTTGGCACTGCTACCGGATTGGCTCAGACCTGCCGATCCCAGGCCACGCACATGCTGGAAAGCTCAAGTCAGGCTGCAGGCGGTCCATGATGTCCCGTCGAGGTAGCTGTGCTGGGACAAAGTGTAATGCACGATCCAAGCTGTCAAGGAGTGATCAAATTACTCCTTTTATTTCCATGGAAACGGAGGAGGACGAGGAGCAGGGACAGGGCTACCTCACTCCAGTGCTGAGTCATGCTTTGTTCCCAGCTCAGGCCTCTGCAGAGGCCAAGAAACTGTACGCAGCTCTGCAGGAGTACGCCAAGCGCTACAGTTGGGTGGGCATGGGCCGCATTCATAAAGGCCTCCGTGAGCAGGTATGCTCACTAAAACCTTAATCTGGTTTCTGTTTTTGGCAGGAGGTTATGCGTGTATGAGCTGTTTAACTAAACTGATAGCTAGTTAACTAAGTTTTTATTGATTCATTGAGGCTGGCTGGTGGGTTTTTAAAAAGAACTAAACTACCTGCCCATGTGAAAAACACCTTACTTGGTCAGACATGTTTCTTCAGTTGATGAAGAAATCAGATTCAGAATTATTTGCTTTGTCATTTTTCTTACCTCAGATCAGACTGAATGATCACTCCACCATACAGAAGCCTCATCTCTTCTTCCTCCCCGATGTCCCAAGCGTTCCTTTCTTCCCCCGTGATGCTCATCGACATGACATCGAGGTCTTAGAAGCCAACTACTCGGCGATCTTGGCTGAATTTAAGGCGGTTTATCAACGCGGCATTGAACAAAAACAAGGGTGGACCGTTCTGGGACCAAAGGTACGCAAGGGAATTCTGTCAGGCAAAGTAAAGGGGTAGCGCGAGAAACACTTAAATGCCTGAATTAAATTAGAGCAACAATATTTAACTATTTAAAGATTATCTAAAAGTACGATAACTGTGAACAGGGAGAATGGCGTCCATCCTAAATTCACAGAGCTCCTGGTGCCTCTTCAAAGTCCTCCTCACTACTGCTGACAGTTTTTCACCTCAGGGGACCTCTTAAGGACTAGGAAGCTCTGTGAATAATGTTTTATATTTAGCAGGATCTAGTCTTAACTTTAAGGAGAAATTCTTAAAAACATCATGACAAAGAATCTTCTCAGAATAGAGTCACTAGGAGCAGCTCTATGAATACGACCCCTGATGCATCAGTCTCACCTGGGTCGTATATTAACTGCAGCTCCTTGTCTCCTTCAGGGTCAGGCAGTGTTTCCTCTGTACAGTGCCGGTGTCTGCGTGGCAGGAAACTGCCGCTCCTGTCCCTGCACGTACCGCACACTTCTCTCTCTTCGGACATTCATAAGCAGCAACTCTTTGGGATCTGCTGGATTCTGGCTACTGGGGCCCGGAGCGACGCTGGGGAGCTCGTACGGACCCACCAACACACGCCTGAGATGTCATCTTGGTGAGTAAAAAGACAACATTAACATACCTTGGAAGAAAGACTTGTCGTTGCCTCTCAAAATACATTTGGCATGCCCTTTGTTTATCACATAATATACTGGTTTAAATTTCAGTGCTCTCTGCTGAAGACACATGGGAATTATTATTTACACAACTGAATATATGGACACATGGTTGTATTACAGCACATATCACATAATAATATTGTACTTTAATAAACCAAAAATGGGAAATCAGTTATTACTGTAAATGCAAAATTCTGTGGGTCATGTTTGAGGCTCGATTACCCTTTAGCCCACTTGTGCGGCGCTCCCATCTGGCTTTAATCCTCTTTTTCCAACACACACAGGGATGAAGTCCATGCTTTTCTTAGATGAGTATTTTTGTGCCAAACTGTTCAAACACACATCTTGTTTGTAGGTCTGCAGACTCCACCCTCGTGTGAGCTGGTGGTGGGAGGAGAGCCTCAGTGCTGGTCAGAGGGACACTGCCTCCTGGTCGATGACTCCTTCCTTCACACCGTCTCCCACAAGGGTTGGTGAATCATGACATTTCATCTTAGTAATTTCGTTGTAATGTGTGACC